CCATTTAAAAAAAAAAATAGAATAAACTAAAATTACTTTTTAGGAGTCCCATGTGTGCTCACATGACTTTTGAGGCAGATAATTGCATTCAGTAAAGGTTTTACCTGCAGAAGAAAATCAAAGAGTGCCATCTTGGACCACTCATGATGATGGATTTCGGTGCAGCCCCAGTCAGCTTTGGGAACTTTACCATTCTGCCAGCATTTCTGCTTCAATAGCTGCTGATATTGCCCCCAGGTTAATCTCACAGAAGAATGGGTACTATTATCTGTTGGACTCAGTGAGGAATCCCAGAGAATAACAGGACAGGCTTGACCATCTGAAAAGCAAAAACAGATCATCGGAATAGTGCAATAGTGTTAGACTTACATAATCATTCTTTAGACATTGCCTAAGCATCAATAATTATACCATTTAACAAATGTGGCAGGAAAAGTGGTCAGGGGCTAAGAACTTGACATCTTTTCATTAATGTGGTCTTATTCCACATCTAAAACCAGCCACTGAAGGAATGGAAGAAGCATACACATTATAAATGTTCCCAGCATACAGAAGGCTTTCTCTGTTTGAAGCAAGAGATTAATGTACAAAACCATATACTAAACCAGACTATTAAAAAGTTTATAGTTAGATTAAGAGCCTACAATGCCACTGTGAATCAACAATGTAATTTCCCTCTGATTCCAGTGAAGTGATAATGATTTACAAGAGCTGAAAACTTATGTCAAAAGTAATTTTTCTGCAAATGGGCATAGAAACACTACAAATCCTGTTCTCAAAGTGGATTTATTTTGTTATCTTTAATATTTTAGGCCTATAATATATGATTTCACAGCTCTGAAATGATATATGAGAATAATGGAGAGTGTGAGCTTAACATTAATAAACACCTTGACAAGTATTTTTCTTTTTACCCAGATATAATGAGATCTGTTTTGTATAGCAGCTATTTGGGCCAAATTCTTTAATTCTTCTGTGTAAAGAATATTCTTCTTTCTCCTGAAACTAAACCTTACCTTTGAATTCAAGAGTTCTTAGTGGGAAGAAATCTTGGCAAATAATTTAAAATGAGCTTTCCTGGTATAAGAACTGAGAAATATATTTCACCCAATATCAAGTAACAGGCTTATCCATCTTCTCAGGAAAATGGAACTCTCCTTTTTATTGCTGATGCAATGCTGCTGCTGCCCTAAACTGTCAAGGATCCAAGAATGACTGTGGTCTTTACACACATTAAAACAGAAATCCTTTATATTTTTGGGTGTAGACAGAAGACCAAAATATGATGTCTTGGTACAGAGAGGAGGACTCACTTAACTACAAAGCCGATATTTGCTAAATAGCAAGTGTTAGAACATGTATAAAGCTTTAAAATTTATCTATAATCACCTTGAAGGTCAATGAACCTAAAGTCCACACTATTGCACAATTTATCACATAGTTAAATGCAGTTTAAACTGTCTGTGCCTTCTACATGCCCCTGGGGTCAGAGATACACCTGAAAAGAAACTTTCAGAAACTTGCATGAAGGCAACAAGATCCACGGCATGTTCTCCAGAGGCAATCCAGATGGAGAAGAGTGCACAGAAATCAGGTAACAGTGCCAGTGGCAAGATAAAAGCTGCTAATGTGAATGCTCCATCTGTAAGCAGCAAGAATTGTTATAAACAGATCTCCATACAGCTGAATCAAAAAGTAACTGCTTCAAAGGATGATGACTGATCTAAAACAAGAGGTAAGAAATTATCTTTGCCCATAATTAGCAGTGAAACATAGGTAAAGATCCATCTTGTACTTGCCAACAAGAGGGCAAGATAGGGCCCATACACAATCGAGCCCAAGAGAAAAACCCCTCTCCAAAACCAGAATATACTCAATCTTCTCTGTTATGCCTTGCACATACAAGGCAGCCCTCAAGCCAACCCAATGTGCAGCTCCACCACCTCTTTAACTTCCCTCCCAGTTGCCCAATATTTCTTTAGGAACACGAAGTGTCCTTCCATTAGGAACATCAATTCCTTTCTTCCACTAGGTTCAATACTACCTCTATCAGCACTGTGCTCCACACTGTGCTGAAAAAAAGTGCTAAGTACTCCTGAAAATCAGGCTTCTCCTCTACTGTAGTGCCTGGATAAGTACTAAGGAATTTAATCTAGGAACCCTTAGCCATTTCCCCATCTCTCTTGCTCTGGCTCCATCACCTACATTGTAGATTACTTTAGCCAAGTCGGGTCAACTTATCAGCTAAGCTTCTTTTCCAAGTCAGTTGGAGAAAGTCTATATAAGTGTTGGGAATCGTCACAAAAAAAAAGGATTACTTTCTTCAGGACCAAATCTGATCTATTATTTTTATATCTCCAATAACAGCTCATGTAACTATTCATGAATTCTTCCACAAACTAAATACATAAATGGTCTTCTAACAAAACAAACATCTCCTGTCTACCCAAAGGGGAGATGATAAACAATAGTAATATAAATACTTGAAAAATATGAATAATATCTTGCCAGTTTCCATTAAGATACAAAAACATTTTCAAAAGACCAAATCTAAATACAGGAAATGTTTGCATTTCAGAGGAAATGGGAGCAGAAATGATGAGCCAAAAAATCTTTCAACACTACTATAAATTGAATTACAGGAATATGAAACAGCAGCTTCAGTAAGGAGCAGTGACTCAAATTTTTGACACTTGCAGGAAAAACATCAAGATGCTGAATTAAAGCAGATAAGGGGTCTGATTCATAGCTGCACGAAATGTCATGACACCACGGAAACCAGTGGAGCTCTTTTGATTCAAACCTCATGAGGATGGGGCTGAAGTTAACAGAGCAGTGAAAAGTAAGACCTGGCTAAGAATCAGAACTTCCAGTTTGATACAGCCAAAACTGAGGAGAGTGAGCACACTTCAGAATAATTCCAGTGTGCTCTGCATGCACGTCTTTCCTAATCAGTTTTATATATTAGCACAAAGGGCTACTGCTTTTCTGTTGCTGCATTGCACTGAATCTTGCCCAAAGCTGATTTACTTCACTTTCTTTTCATTTGCCATTTAAGATCAATATATCTACCTGACTATCTAAAGATGATCTGCAAAATTGTATGGGAAAGACTCTTCAAAACTCATGTTGGAACCAGCTTCCTAGTAATTCATATAGAATTTTAAACATCAAAATATTTCTAAAAAATTCTTAGGCCCTTATCCTGGCTCAGGATATGCAAAGTTGAATAAGCACACATAGGTGAAACCTTAGGCTGCTGAGACTAGGTACTCAAATTGCTTCATGTGCAGCTAGGTAATGTACCACTGCATGACTTCTTCAACACAGGCATCATCTTATGTATCCACATACCACATAACTTTGAAAACAGTCTGTATGCTTCTTAACCACAAAGATGTTCTTGCAAATGTTACTCTTTCACCTTGTGCTCTAACTTTTATCTACAGCAATTTTTCAAACTTCCTCAAAAGAAAATATTTTCAAACATGTCCATGAGAGCATCACTAAAATGAGAAAATCTTTCATGAGGTACTTAAAGCCCTTTCTCAAGCTCTTAATTGTTCACTGTAAAGCAGTATAGCTTAACACTGTCCCATTTGAAAGAAACAGTTTAGTTGCCCACATATTAGCAGAAGAGGGTAATTTAGTGTGGAAAGATGAGAGGGACTGACATACAAAGCATTACTTGAATTTGAGAGTTTAAGTTCTGAGGGAAAATACAAGAGAAGCAGAAAGCAGAGAGAAGTTAGGCCATTTTTCTTTCTTCCCTTTGCACCTTATTTGCAATGCTTCTGTGCTGCACTCGTATGGCTGTCAGAGTTAAGGAATGCATGAAATACGCATCAGTTGCTCTCTAGACTGTGGACTGCATTATTCCTTGCACATGAACTTCTCTACCCAATAAAATATTAGAAATATGCTCTCCAAGAGGTACAACACTATAGTGTATGTTGTTTGGGTTAACAGACAAAACAGGACAGATTAATTGAAGCCTTTTAGAGCATTCTGAATGCATAAGGCAGTGTTAGGTTTTTCTTATTCTTTGTCCTGACATTAGTGATTCATAATATCTTTGCCTGCTTTTGCATAACTTTTGGTGAGACGGCAAGGGCAGGCTGATAGCACAGGGTATGACACAGAAAAACCTATGGCTCCATTTATCATCACGTAGAGGCCAGCAAAGCAAAATTACAAGTACAACCAGTGGAGCTATCTATCACATGTCATTCCTCTATTGCATTAAACCAACCATGAAAGGTGTTATTCAAAGGAAGAGTTTCTTGCATATTTTAGGGGTGAAAAAAAAAAAAAAAGTTGTTCTGGACAAATAGTAGGTTTGATCTTTAGCTAAAAAAAGCCCAAATGAATTGAGTCCATCTATTCTTATTCTCAGCCCAGGATAAAACATATGTAGCCAAACTTAGAATATCAGAAAATCAGGGGGGAAGAGGAGTGGTTGTCAGCATGCAGCAGTTCGGGTCCTCAGCCAGTGGTGAACAAAACTGCACAGCAGTAGCTGTGTATTTTGTACCGAACGCTGAGTAACGGGCTCAGCCTTGCTACAGTCCAAGGAGCCACAGTCCTATTCCTACAGCTGTCAGCTGCAACACGGGAGCAAGCCCGCTCCAGCCCATGTGACTCCAGTGGCAGCTCAAGTCCTAACAAACACTGGCATCATCCTACCCTGCCAGTGCTGCTGCTGAGCTAGAGGCAATATGTGCAGTCATTTTATTTAGCTTCTGTGCAAATTAATTAAGTTAGAGCTGTGACACCCAGCAAGGTCACTTATGTCTCCTCTGCTCCTCAGGCTGATCAAATAATGAAGATTCTCAGTCCTGTGGTATTAATGTGACCATCCTAGAACTCAGTCACACAAGGGTTAGCCTCCATTTTCTTGATAATATACACAGTTTTGTGATTATTTCTTGTCAGTCTGCAGGCTTATCCTTCTTTGTTTATAGGTGTTTTGGAGCTCTTAACATTTTTCATACCTTGTCGGTAGCAAAGGGAGTAAGGAATGACTGCTTGTGTATACTGCGAATCATCCTCTTTTACTTGTAGCACAGAACTCAAAAGGGCTTTGCCGACCTGTACTCCCCAGGCTTTCTACATTTGGCCAATTCATTGCAAAAATATGAGAGTCATCATGCCTGATTTTTCCATCCATGATGAAAAACTAACATAAGCCATAAAAAATTCAGTTTACACTTAAAAGGGTTTGCAATTAACTAGGGAAGGCAAGGGTAGTCGACAGAGGACTTGCACACCATATTTTGCTAGACTTTAAAAAAAAAAAAATCAGTGAGGGATTTGTGGGAACAGGGGAAACAGAACCTGTACAGGGATTTACTAAGCAGTTCTTTGAAACTGCTTTTGACAAAATGAATGACAGTTTTGAAAAGCCCATTTTTTAAGATTTTAATGCTACATCAAACATGTCTTGTTAGATCACATCACAACTGAGGCAAGCTAAACGGATGTGCTGTGGAGAGAGATATGTCAGCCCAGAAACTCTGTATGTTCCTACACACATGCAGAGCCTCCAATCCTGCATTGCTCGCTTTCCCATATGAATAACCACGATTCACACAAGTCGCCCTCTAAAAAACTTTGCATTGCCCATCTAACCTTAACTTTAATGCATATGGGTTATAGAAATGAGCTCAGCAATTGTTCATATTATTTTTAAGAATATATTTTTGCTCATTTTCTCAACACAGATGTTTTCCAGATTATGCCAAACACAAGTATGTAAATAGCAATGAGCTCAAGTAGATATTAGGCATCTGAGCTCCAGCACATTTCCAGGCTAAAGAAATGGAGAGAGACAAGGTACAGTAACTGTTCCAAATGCTCTGTTCACCCTTTTGCTGGAAAAAATGAAGTGAGAACAGAATAATGTTATTTCTCTTCTCATCACCTAGCAACACTCTTCTTGCTATAGGAACACAGCCAGTTATGAGGAAAAGAAAATTAAAGTGGGTAGAATGACACTGTCAGTCCCAGACAGTCCAAATCATACTGTAAGGTGACAGACACTGAGCAACGCAGTGCACAATTAGCCTAATGGCAGTTTTCAGAGACTTGCAGTCTGTCATCTCCACAGCCATGCTGTGCAGAGTTCCTCCAACCGAACTCCCTTAATGCCTCATGGCAGCTCTATGGCAATAAATCTTGTTCCTAAAAATAAACCAGGCATAATGTATCTTCCATGCTCTGCAACTATGAACAATATTCAGAAGCCTCCAAACTGCTGTTCATTCACATTGTTGGACAGGCTGCCAAAAGGAAGATTTACAAAGCAGGAAGAAATCAGGTATCACTGGGTCCTCTTCCTGCTGTCAGACTTCAGAAAGTCATACTTGCATTTTTTTCTTTTTTTTTTTTTTTTAGAAATGCAGACTGATATAAAAAGTTTTGTATAAGCTAATTTCAGCAGCAAGAAAGGAACAGCAAAAACATAGCTAGGCACTTCAGCAATGATTCATTAAAATGCAATGTAGTCCTTTTAGATTGTGATTTGTGACTGTACAAAACCAGCAGTTAGGCTGAAGACATGTTTAACAAGATAGCAATGGCAGAGGTAGACTTACTTCTGACTCACATGTCTGAAATTATCTTTAGTTTTACTAAAGAGAAAAAAATCAAAATTTTAATTGAAAACTTTATACCAATCATGTAACAGGTATATTGAGCTATTTACTGTGCATATTTCTTTGTCTGCATAATATACAGAGTTGCGTAACTTTGAAAAGCACAGCAGGATTCATTGAAATGTAGTTTTAATTTTTATGAGGAGAGGAAAGCACTTTTTAATTTTTTTTATGTTTCCAGTGGTATTAGTGCCATGAAAGTAGCATCAAGCTTCTGGCAGGAAGTTCCCCTGCCTCTCTGAGTAGGTTATCTGACTAAATACAAAACCCCTTTCCCACCATCTGTTTGAAAGGTGAATTATTGTGCTCATTTTCAACAACATTTTATTAAAGTCAAATCTAAAAGATGAGAAAACTTTTTTTAAAAATAATCAGAAATCCCCATTGAAGCACAGGGTATTCTAGAATTTCTTTCACCAGTTTCACTTCAGGCAGTCTGTACTGTCATGCGGTCCCCGGATTACTCCTTTTTTTTTTTTTTCCTCATTACAGACTCTAGTGGAAGAGAAATTATTATTGCCTTCAGTAGCTCAATGGTATTTGATCCAAACTTTGTGACACTGTGTCCTTTGAACAGAAAACTGTACTGCAGAAATTAGATACAGATACCAGCTTTAGGTCCCTGTAACGATGGAGTTAGTTCTCAGGCTCACAGCCTCCTGCCCTGTGGTTAACACAGGAGGGGAAGGGAAACCTCAGCACCCCACCTGCAAGCTGACAGCCATCGGAATGTGTTACCTTGGAAGAACTCCGATCTCCTGCTTACAGAAGGTAAGCTCCTGTTCAGCCCCAAGATCCTATCCAAATGAAAGGCAAACACCTCGCTCATGTCAAGGGGTCTTTTGACGATGCCACAGTGCCCCTGGTTACAAGCAGTTCCTGTGGTGCTGGGACCCCTCACAAATACTGCCAGGACTGCTTTGTGAGAAGGCATTTCTTGGATGCTCTCTATCCGAGAATCTGCCAGCATGCGCATGTTTAGGATGTCGTCTTTGCTCAGCCAAGAGGGAGAGCTCTCGCTGTAAATCCTGATATTGCTTTCCTCAGGCTGGGGCTGTGCCTTTATAGCTCCAGAAATTCCCCCTGGTCTTCGGTGACCCCTCTCCCTGATTGCCACTCCTTTATGCCTGTGTTCATCCAGTTGGTGCTTTCGCATCTCCAGAGCCATTGCTGCTCCCATCGTGCCCATGGCATGTGTGGCCTTCCGTGGCTGTTGGGCAAAGGCCTCTTCCTGGCCCCTAAAAGTGGCTTTTGGAAAGTGCTGCCCATAGGACAAAGGGGTTGTGTGTTTCTTCCTGCGCTTTGGCTTCACCGTGCCTCTGATGTTGGCAGGCTTGCTGCGCTTGGACCGCAGGGTGATATACACTACATTGGGTGGCAGCATGGTCCCACTGCTACCCAGCTGGGGTTCCTGGAAATTGGCTGGTGACAGGGTGCCATCCAGTAGGATGCCCAAAAAAGGAGTTTGAGCCGCATCTTGGAGACTTCTGGAACTGATCTTTTGGTGTCCTCCTTTGTGCTGGGGTAAAACATGACCCACTTGACTGACGAGGAATCCCAGGTAGATCACACACGCAGTGCCCACTAGCAGATTCCTCCTTGTCCTTGGGCGCCTGCAAGTCCAGAGCCTCAGCACCCGTGAGGGGCACTGGCAGCAAATAAACAAGTTTTTTATTTTACTTGGCTGATCAAAGATGGTCATTTCTCTAGTGAATCCACATGATGAAAACAGCATAAAGTCTTCCGTACTTTCCAGACAGGATGATGATGCATGATTTCCCTTCCCCAGTTTCTATTTCTCCTTTTCCAAATAGCTTCCAGCATAGGTGATGGACAGAGGCTACTGATATGCCTGGGAATGTGTTCAGTACTAAGGATGCTGACACTCCACCTTCTCAAGCTGTTAAATTCTTATCAGCCACCACAGGGGAAGTGATTGGCTTCAGAGAATGAATGGAGACAGCTACGTAAGCAAAGTTTACTGACTTGTAGTCTAAAATATCTGAAGTATCTTCTTTGCAAACTGCAAAAAGAAGAGGGTAGTAGCATTTCCTTTAATTACTCGCATATGGCATCTCTGGTTCTATATTTTTAAGATATAGAAGTTCTAGAAGGGACAGTATGCATCTAGAAATTTGTCAGGATACATCTTTCACTTTCTCATTATAGTATAAATTAAACACCAAAATCTTGAAATACAGGCTCAATTTGCAATCTCAGCTAGCTCTATTCCAGCAGTAGAAAAAAAGCTTGTCAAACTCAGATCATTATCATCTTTTTCTTGTAAGACAAAGTCTTTACTAAACTTCATGTTATTCAAGTGCTGTAAACTATACAATATTAAGCACCAGTAACTGTAGCATCTAAATATGCACATATTCACCAACAGAAAAAAATATTAGCAGTGCCAAGTTTCCCTAGTTGAGTATGAATAGAGTTCATATTCATAAACACACATTAAAGATGAAAGATGGCTAATTCTCTTCACTCTTGTGAAGCCATAAATAGGATCTAGCTATAGTTTTTCAAATAAAATGACAGTGGCTTATATAGCTTTTCAAAGAAACAAAGATAGAATAAGTGCACATTGTATATATATACATATTGCTATAAAAATATAAAATCTCTTACCTATTCAGCTTGACACATCCTTCGTTCTGGTAAACTCCTTAGGTTAATAAAAGTAACTTAGTAAAAGCTGTTGCTCTCAAAGTATTCTAGCACATATTTCAGTTTTAAGTACAGTTCATATTTAGGCATTTCATTGCAAGCTAAATACTGTCTGGAAGTTAACTGTACTGAGAGGTGGTTTGCATACGAACTGCTATAAACTTACATGAACTTCACATTACTGAAAAAAACAAAACAAACCAAAATCCAGCAACTTCTATTTTAAATTCTGTAATGAAAAGTCCTGTGAAGTATATGCCTTCCAAAAGTGCATTCCATCCATTTCTAACTCCTGAGGGCCCTCTAGTGCACTGCATGCAAATATACTGAAGAAATTCCCATTTTCTACTTTATAAAAAAAAAATTAAAATTAAAAAAGCTTCTCTGAATTTTAGAATATTTGGGAATCATATGTCCTTGTGATGAGAAATGAAAAACAGATAGTGGCCTTTAAAATGCTACTAGCATGTGATTAAACAGCTCAGGAGCGTTTCCTATTTGTGGTTTCCAAAACGAGGCACAGCATAGTCACTATACAGATGGAAAAGTTGAGGCAGAAAGAAGCTAAGGGCTTGCGCAGTGTTAACAGTGAGACACTGGCAAAGCTCTGACTACTGACTCCTTGCCTAGTCTAAGTACAGAATAATAAAATGTGTATGTTCACTGTAATTCAAGTTAATGGAGATATTTTCTTCTCCATAATTAATACTAAGGGGAATAGACTGTTAAGGAATTTGTTTATGTTTCAGATGGGTCCAGTCTGAATTTATGAAACTTTGTGAGTGGATTTTTTCACTGGCCATCCCTTTTCTTTACTTTTTGTCTATATGCATACTATCAAGTTAAGATTTAGAGCCACCAAGATGATTAAGGGAGTGGAGCATCTCCCTTATGAGGAAAGGCTGAGGGAGCTGGGTCTCTTTAGCTTGGAGGAGAGTGAGGGGTGACCTCATTAATGTTTATAAATATGTTAAGGGCAAATGTCATGGGGATGGAGCCAGGTTCTTCTCAGTGATGCCCAATGGTAGGACAAGGGGCAATGGGTGTAAGCTGGAACACAGGAGGTTCCGCTTAAATTTCAGAAGGAACTTCTTTACAGTGAGGGTGACAGAGCACTGGAACAGGCTGCCCAGGGAGGTTGTGGAGTCTCCTTCTCTGGAGACATTCAAAACCCGCCTGGATGCCATTTAGGTGTTCCTGCTCCAGCAGGGGGATTGGACTAGATGATCTTTCGAGGTCCCTTCCAATCCCTAACATACTGTGATTCTGTGATTTCAGCATCCATGTCCATTACCAGGAAAAGCATCTTCGTATCACCTGCTTTTTCCAAATCTGAGTTCCTGGAGGAATACGGATTGTAAGAAATCTCTCTGGCCACTTACATTTTTCTCTCTATCTTTTTAGTTCAAATTTGACTGAAGGGACATATCCCAAAGGAGATTAACTCAAAAAGCCCCCCACAAGTGTATCAATACAGTCAGCAAAGATGTGGCTACTGCTGCTTGACATTTTTTATACTTTAAAGCAGTTGCCAGAAATGGACATTATTAGATCAGCCTTACATGCTTGAGGGTCCCTCTGAAAGATGAACGGTCATTAGTGAGAGGTACCCGCTTTGCAGCCCATCTGATCCACCGACACCATACATGGCTCACAGTGAGAACAGCCTCCTATATCCTATTTAATAATGGTACAACGTGAGTGCAAAATATCAGGAAAGTTATATGGCTAAAATCAGGGTAAATAAGGGTAACTGCCTGAGAGCAGAATTTCACCCATACCACATTTACATATACACATGAAAAAATTTTTTGAAATGACTAAGATAGGCTCCCCCCTTTAAGGATAAATCATGCAAAATAAACAGATCTTTTAATTACACCTCCTGGATTCTGTTTTGACAGCAAATAATTCAGCATGAAGCTTTTACTCCACTATATTTCTTCCAAGAGTCTTAGAATTATTTTGGAGGTTTTCCCCTTGTATTTTTACCTTACCTAATGGCACAGAGTTGCTTGAGTTTGAAACATACCACACTGCAACAGTTGTTTTCAAATGCCCAGTTCTTGCACGTAGACAGCACCATGTCCTGTCCATTCCAATCAAGCAGTGCTGAAACACAGTCCATTCCAGTTGCTAACAGCTTTCCTTTGCTATGACGTCTCTCTTAAATGTAAAGTTTGGAAACTATATGGTCTTCTTACTGCCAACTCTTTAAAGATTATCTAGAGGAAATGATAAAAGGATATGGAGAATTGTTCTTCACTCCTCATTTCATTTGTAGCCTTGAAATCAAAACGTGGTGTACCCACTGATGTACAGCATTGACCGCTGAGTTTTTGAGGCTCTCTAAAATGTGATGATAGCAATAATATTTCCTTTATTTTTCATGTTCAGAAAAGAGAACTGATTCTTTAAATGTTGCACTGTTACATTCTTTGGAATGGATGGTGGCAGGAATTCAACTAAATAGGATTCAATATCCTGTTAATTTAGCAGATATTTGCCTCTAGTTTTGGATCTTTAAAAGCTAATAGATCAAGACACATCATTTTTTTCATCTCTTCTGGTGTACAGCTCCAGTGCCCTACTGGATTTTACACAGTAATTAAAGCTGTAATGGTTATAGATTTGTTTGGAAAACAAACATTTCTTTGTGTTTCAGGAAAGACGAAGAAAATGCTTGTTGTTCAGGTGGGTAGTGTTCTTTTTTCTGCAGTCATTACTAACCCAAAGCTGCAGCAGAGCACTATAGGGCATAACTGAGCTGAAAGAGTATTTCCTCTGTGGATATAAAATATTTAAGACCAATTTTCTGAAAGAATACACTGAACAACACTAGTTGTCTAGCCAAGGTTATTGCACTTTGCCTACCTATATTTAGAATCATAGAAGGTTTGGGGTTGGAAGGGACCTTAATGATCATCTAGTTCCACCACCCCTGCCATGAGCAGGGACACCTTCCGCTAGACCAGGCTACTCAAAGCCTCATCCAACCGGGCCTTGAACACTTCCAGGGAGGGGGCATTGTCCTGGTTTTGCTAGGATAGAGTTAATTTTGTTTGTAGTAGCTAGAATAGCTGTGTTTTAGTTTCAGTATAGGATTTGTTATGAGAAGAATGTTGATAAAAGTACTAATGTTATTAGTTGCTGCTGTAGCTCAATGCCATCGTGTTTGGCTGGTTCGCAGCTGCATTAGGACTGGGAGGAAGAAATGTAGCGAATAGCAAAACCCAAACTGGCACTTGGCTCTGCCAATGAGATATTCCATATCATATCACATCATGTATATTAACCAGGTTTGAATGGAAATAAGGGACATTCTCTTGGGGATCGCTCAGGCTCACTC